AAGGACCAACCTCTTACTGACTGTTCTATTCATGACTCATTGGCCCATATGCCATTGGAGAAGGATGAGAGGGTGGTGACAGTGGTGGCATTTGCTTTTGTTCCCACTAGTATAGTTTGTGACAGTGGTGACAATGGTGGTACACCTTCCTCTTATTGATTATTTTGATCAATATTAACCACTAGTGTAGTTGTCTGTATTTGGTATGCTAGCTGCATAGTGCCAACATGTTGCTACAATGCGGCAATGCCATTGAGGATAGTATTAAACACCATTTATGCTAATAGTATTTTAAGATTTATATAAACATAAAACATAAGAAAAATTTTCATCTTTTATCAAAATATGTACCTTTAGTGTACAATAAATAACCAAACATGTCTTTCATTGTTTCCACTAGTGTATTTTCAATATATGTGCATTTACAAAAAGAACTTATCTCCTTATATGTATTTAACATAACCCCACCCATGTATTAACAAAAAAATTCATTTGGTGCTTCATCTTGATTATAAACAAAAAAAAAAAAATCAAAATGAAGAATATATCAATTTCTTAGGCCTTGAAAAGGGGGATTCTTGCATCCCCTTCTATTGTGGCCAAATTCCTTGACTTTCCACAACATATTGACACATGAACCATAGATTGAGACTCAGTCCTCTTTTTCCTAGGTTAGCCTGGTTAGTGCTTTGCATTTGGAGGAAGAACTTTAAGTTCAGATTCAACAGATGGCCATTGCAATTGATCCAATAACGGATGCAAATTTCTTGGTATGTCATGCGATATGTCTCACAAGTAAATCAATCTTCACAATACTCATATATATATATGTGTGTGTGTATCAAAATGCACGATAGGAACATGTAAACTTCTAGAGATTATTGATACAATGAAATCACTTGATATTCATATAAAGAAAATGGAATTGGATTAGTTGAACCTACATCTTGATTAACCTTTTGGATGTACTTCTCACCAAATGGAGTTAGTCGTGTTTTCATTTTTGCACCTTCCAATTGCCTTTTAAAAAATAAATCTGCAACCTTCATTATTGTTTTCTCAACTAATCGTGCAATTGACAACTCTCTTGCTTCTTTTAATGAAAAGTTAAAACTTTCAGACAAGTTTGTCATGTCTATATTGTACCTATTTCCATCAAAATAGGCTCTTGCCCAATGTCTCTTTTCAAGCTTCACTATCCATTCAAAAGCATTTGCATTTATTCCTTTAATTTTTTTCCAAGATTTCATCACATTCCTGCATAGTAAATCCACGAGCTGCCACCCAAAACAATTTTCTCAATGACTCATCTTTGAATGTACCCCAAAAGTTCTCCAAAACATGACGAAGACAGAAACTATGATGTGAACCAAGAAACACCTCGGGAACTCCTTTAAGAAGTTCATGATGTCAATCGGTAATTATTGTGAGGTATGGCTAAAACCACTCCCAACAGCCATTGTTCTCAATCTTGACTATTCCAAATGCAACTAGAATAATACCATTATTTCCATCAACCCCGGAAGCTATTAACAAAGCACCGGGCACAGGCATAGAACCCTTCAGATGTGYCCCATCAATTGGTAGAATTGGCCTTAAATTTTTGTGAAAAGTGCAAATACATGCTCCAAATGCCCAWAAGAAACATGAAAATGTCGAATCATCATTTAGTACAATGTGTGCCACACATCCTTCATCCCTTCAATGCAATTCCTGCATCAAACTTGGCAATTTTGTATATGAGTTTTGAAATGTCCCATCTATCAAATCTAATGCCTTCATTTTAGCCCTTACCACCTTTGAATATGATATTGTAATGCCAAATATTATTTTTATATCTGTGATCATTTCAATTAGTCGAATGTTCCCTTTAGTTTGGATGTTATCCAATATGAAGTTGCTTGACGGTGATCATGACCACCTTTGCGCATATGTATAGAACATGTATGACTTTATTATATTTTGTCACTTTAAAAGTTGGCAAATTATGCAATTTTTTTGGCATGTAAATGCCAAGAATACTCTGCAACAACACACTTCACCGTTATCATTTGTGGGCTTGTATAAATTGGATTGTATTCATGCTTTGTCTTGATTGCATTATCTTGAAGAAAACTTTTCAATGTTGATAAACTTGTAAAAGACTGTCCAACTGATAATTCAAATGAATCACCAAAATTGTTGCTTGTATTTTCATCACCTCCATTGTAATCCATTGCCTTTACAAAAATGTACGTTGGGATCAAAATAATAATCATCAATCAAGTCTTGCTTGAATTCATCTCCATGATGTCCATTTCGAAATTCCATTTCTTGTTGCCCTTTTGTTGCCTCTGCATAATTGAAATCATCTTCACATGTTTCTTGATTAGTTGGGCTTAAACTAAAATCCTCTTGAAATTTTGGTTCATTTTGGCTTAAAATTGGGCTGAATTTATCTTCCAACTCTCTTTCTAGTTGACTTATCAATGCATGGTGGAAGTGTTTTTCTATAGTTGGTTCTTGTGACCTAGGAGATATCAAAGTAAAATAAATTATATTGAATCAATATAAAATAAATAGTCGTTTCTTTAAATAGTATACCTGGGAAGTGATGAAGGAACATAAGATATATTGGACCATCCCTCAACATTATATCTACCACCGGGCTTGGTATTTTTGTTCATGCTCCCAACTCCTAATTGAATTTTAGCTCCAGATTTAATTAAAATAATAAAACATAAATGTTAATTTAAATCAAATAAGTAAAACATGATTCAATAAAGTGATGAATAAAATGCTTAATAATATGAAAAGAATTACTAGAAATGGCAACAGGGCGGGTTTGGGGCAAGGATCATATTCCCTGTCCCTTCCCCGATTTTGAAATTAACCCCCATTGTCGTCCTCGATCCCCACTGGGGATAAAATTTGTCCTCCATCCCCGATCCCCGATGGGGATGGGTTCCCTATAGGGACCCGAATCGCCAAATCTTTTTTAGATAATAGTATTTTTTTGAAAAATAAATTTATTTAAAGCAAATAACAATTTTAAATTATAAATAATGTTTTAAATATGTTTAATATATAAATAA